ATCCTCCCTCTCTTGACAGCCTCCACCAGATGACTTTTTGAAGATCAACTTCGATGCAGCTGTTCGTGTCTCTGGGTGCTCGTCTGGTCTTGGTATCCGTGGGTCAGACGGGCATGTGGTGATGGCAACCGGTATGCGTCACCAGGGAGTAGACAAGCCCTACCTGGCAGAGCTCCTAGCAGTAAGAGATGTTATCACCATCGTCGCCTCAAGTTCCTTGACTCACGTGATAGTGGAAGGTGATTCGAAGTGGTCGTCATCCAGATTCAGCAAGGTATTCTAGAAGGTTCAATTGGAGGTCTGGTGCACCGGGAGTGTTGCCAGTTCTTAGACTCTTTGTTAGTTTGTATAGAGTTTAGGGCGGTTCCTAGAGCCGCCAACAGTGATGTCCATAGAGTGGCGCTTAAAGCACTGCTTGTCTTTCATAGAGGTAGAGTCTTTCAACTTTTTTGGGTGGCTTCACTAGGGTGTCGCTTGTAGGGGATTTCTGGGTAGTTTTATTTGTATAACTCTTGTCTTATCTTGATATCACTCGGAAATAAAAAAAATAAAAAAATAATTTCTATTCGAGAAAAAAGACACACTTAATTCTAGGTCTGGCTCCGCTACTGGATTAATACATGAATCCACCAAGTCAATTAGATTTTGATTAAATGGATTGGATTAGGTGAATAATTTGATAAAAGTACTGAATTCATTAATATGCATTCTAATTGCCAACTCAAAATATATGCAAAATGTTTATGTTACCGACCATCATCATTTTCCGTTCCCTTGGTGAATTGGAAGTGCCCTTATATAGCCCCTCTGGTCATGGGCTTGATAAAGTACAATTGGTTCTTGTTGGAATTCCTAATTTGTGAGTATTCTATATTTTTTTATTATATGATGTACTTGTTGGGAAAAAAATTTGTGCTACTAAATGGACAACCATGATACAAATGTAACTACAAAAAGTCACACGAAATCAACCAATACACGATTAAATGACTACCACCTCTTGCAGGATAGCCCTACCCATAGCATCTACTGGGTTGTCCAATTTCAATTTGACATTGTCAAGTATAAACTCATATCTAGCCAACTGAATGTATACCAAAATAAAATGCTCATAATGCGAAACCAAGCGATCCATCAAATAAGAGCTAGCAGAGGATCGTAAATTGATAAGATAGTACTTGTTAAACTCATTCCAAATTAAAATAGAAGGTCTAACTACACCATCAAAAAAATTACGAGTACTAGATCGTGCAGTGTTTAGAGAAGGAAACATCCATCTTGCTACATGTTGTAAGAATCAAGTATGTGATCACTTACTCAAATATTCAATGCTCAACAAAATCTTAAACCACTAGATTTGTTCCCTTTTTGGAGAATGGAAAGATGTAAAATACTAAACATCATGTGCCGAAGCCCATGCCACCACTAATTGATCAGTCTCCACTTGCCAATTCTTAAAACCTACGTACCTACTCTCTCATAATGCAAATTGAAACAATAATTATTATTGATTATTAATTTTATGTTTTCAGGGCCTTGGGATAGAGTATTAATAACTTAAAAATATCTTACAATTTGCATAACATAGTTGGCCTTGCCCCTCGTACATTATATGTTTGTCACCACAATAAAATATTATACTATTACGATGAGATGCCGTCTCATTTTATTAAGTCCTAATTCAAATTAAGGTGATAAATTTAAGTTTGTTAACAAGTAATAGTTATCAAAATAAGCACAATATCTATTTTGCGTCAGCTAGAAGACTGATCAACGTAATGATATTCCGCCTCATAATATCAACACATTGATATATCTAAAATTTTGCATTTGTGCTTGAAACTTAGGAATGGGAAACAAGAGACACCCAAAATTTTTATGTTTTATTTTTGTATTTTTTGGAAAATTAAAAATATGGTGGGTATAGTCAAAATTGAAAATGGACAAAGATAAGAAGACGGATATATACTTCATGATAGATGCACTTGAAGAGGACTAGTAAAAGTTACAAATACTTAAGAGACAAGCTAGGAAAAGAGCATGATGGGGAATTATAAAGGACAAAAAAGAAGAAGAAGAAAACAAGGAATTCTTTGGATAACAATAAATACCATGATGCTCACCTGATGAAAACCAGAATCCAGAAACCAGGTGGGTAGCAAGAGATTAGGGAAGAAGAAAAACGTTATCGCAAGAAGAAGAAGAAGTTTGATGTCGATGAACATCGGATTCGTTGGATAAGGTATGGTGATATATCAGATTCCCTTTCTACTTCTTCAGGTTAAATGTTTACTCCCTTTGACTTTTCTGTCACTCTTATTGTGGATGCTTGGATGTAACATTTACATTACGTGTTTCTGGAATAAAATGATATTTTATTTATTTATTTGTTGTTAGAAAATATTCGTATTATTGAGAAAATTTGAAGATACACTAGAGTTACAAAATTGATCACATCAAAATCGAAAATCACACCTACCAAACAATAGTACAATAAAAGGATTTTTTTATAACTTTTTTCTGACCACCAAAAGGGCCATTCTACTATTACATCTATCACAACCAAAAACAAAAATCGAACCTTACCAAATTGTAATACAATGAAAGAACTTTCTGACCACTACACCTACGATGGCAAAGTCTTCATTGAAAGTACCCTGGTTAGATTTTGTAGATTGGATTGAATGATGTTCATTGTTTTAGGCTTTGGGGGTTTAGGGAGCATATGTAATGCAATCTAAAAACTTGTTTACTTTTCATTTTGTTTTTAACTATGAAAAGAGAAAGTGGCAACTTCTTGCTGTTTTTGGAAATGTTAATTGTTGTTTTCACCTGTTTTCAACATTTGTTTTCTAAAAAAATATGAAACAGAAATGAAAATAAACAGAATTTAAGTTTATCCAGTGATCTCTAAGCTGGGGGAAGAAAACAAGGATACTTGTGCTATCTTCACTCACTAATGAGCCTTGTTATAAGAACCGAACCGGATCCACGGCTGGGCCAGTAGAACCGTCAAACCAATTACGATAGCGGTCCAGTTCATTGTTTGAACGGTTATTGATGGACCAAACGGTTTTTCACGGTTCAACATAAAATCAGATGAACCGACACGGTTTAGCTGGTCCATTGGTTCATTTAACAAAAAAAATATTTTAAAATAAACTAAGGCCATCAAATCATAATTATTAATTTTATATATGCTTCCTCAACCTTACTGTCGATTTTACATTGTCTACTACCAACTAGAACCGTAATTTTTAATTTGAATTAAAAAATGTGGTTTCTTTTGTGAGATGGTTGGAATGATTTATTAGATATTTTCGTGATGATATGAATTTGAACTTGTTTATGGTCAATGATAATTTCATTCTTAAATTAGTGTAATATACAATTCTTATATGTTATATATCATTAACGGTTCTATCAACGGTTGACCAACGGTTTTGTAATGGTTAACCGGTGAACCCTTAAATCACTAACTTTTCCGGTTCAGCCTATGGTCCGGTTCTGAAAACAGAGCTAATGAGTAATGAATCAAAGAAGTAGGCCGGCCCAGTTTCAAGTGAAGATGCGGCTTATGCTCCAAATAATGGCCCAACGGGTATACTAAGACCTACGATGGCTGACGTCAGTTTGAATCAGGGGCCATATATAATGCAGATTGGGCTTTCGCATCACGGCCTACGGAATCTAACGACAAAGATCTTATGACCCAATCTGAAAAGAGGATTTTTTCCCCCTAGAGTACACACGTTTTATAAATAAAAAAAATCAAAATACACATAGTTTTATAAAAAATTCACAATCTACACATGTTTGCGCTCGGTTATCCGATCATAGCAAGAGAAAAAAAATTACTGTGCATAATTTTTCGAGATCTTGTAAGCTAAAGGCACTTTTGCCACACTTTCATCCCGAAAAAACGTCGTTTGCACCCCGAACGAGCAATTTTTCGACTTTTCCAAACTTTGGAAGGCCATAATTTTGTGCTCCGCAATCCGAATGTCGTAAAAAAAATTTCGCATAACTTTTTGAGGACTACAACTTTTATGATAGTCATAATTTCGGAATGTATGTGGATTTGTGAAAAGAAAGAGCAAAGTTATTCCCAAAACTCCGTATATCCAAAAATATTTCTTGTTTTGAAAATTCCTTCTAGTAAAGGTTGTAGTTCTTAAAAAGTTATGTGCAATAAAAGAAAAATTCATAACGTTCGGATTGCGGAGCACAAAGTTATGGTCTTTCAAAGTTTGGCGAAATAAAAAAATTGCTCGTTCGAGGTAACACGTTTTCGCGGGATGAAGGCGAGACTAAACCGCCTTTGGCTTGCAAGAAATCGAAAAATTATGCATAATCAAAAAACATTTCGCTACGATCAGATAACCGAGCGCAAAGTTACGTTCGTATGAATTTTCAGCCTTAGGTCAGGCCTTCGCCGCTTTTCTCTGCCACGGTGATGCATTCACCGTTTTTCTTTGCCGCGATGATGCCCAAACATGTGTAGATTGAGAATTTTTCATAAAACGTGTGTATTTTAGGAAAGAATCCCTGAGAAGATAAATATGAACTACATGTTCAAGTTTTCTTGAATAGGATAAAACAAATATATCACTCATGAAAAAAAATCCCTCACAAATTAGGGTTATACAACAATCCAGTTCGATCGTAATTAAACTTATGAGAAGTGCGGATAAATAGTGAAAGACATTCTAGGACTATCATAATATTGTATTAGGCCCAATCCCTCAACTTTTCTTCCGTATTTTATAAAATCATGAGACCAAAAATTGAATCACATTATCTTCGTTTTGATATAGTCTAAGTCCATATGTTAATTTGGTTCTAGGCAATCTGGTTCGGAGCACGTTTTGCTGTAAACACAACCGTTATAATTGATAAGACAAAGTAGATAGCCTATAGTCCTTTCAATCGTTCAACCCAAAATGACAAAAAGCTCTAAATAATTCTGCTTATACTACTAATATATAATCTTTCTACGATCATGGAATCATCCTCACCGGCCAAAATCTCTTACACTCCACCACCGACTTCTGATCCCCACCGCGGCAAAAGAAGAGATCATCAGGACACCTATACAAGCAATTATCCACCAGGCTCACATTACCCGACCCTGGTTTCATCCCCATCATCGCCGCCGGTATCTTCCCCACCAGATAATTCCCGGCCAGTAGCAGCCTCTCAAACGCCGTCGACTCGCCCTCCGTCCCAGCAGCCGCAGCCTTAACGCCATACGCGGCGGGAATCATCCCGGTGAACCTATTGTTCTCCAGGGACAGAGCTGAAAGCTTCGGCATCGAACAGAGGAACGCCGGCAGCAGCCCTCGGAGAGCATTGTCGCTCAGGTCGATCGCGATGAGCTCGCTGTCGAACCCCATTGTCGCCGGAACTTCCAGTGAGGTGAAATCGTTGTGGGAGAGAGTCAATTGCTGGAGAGAAGGGTGCTCGAAGAGGACGGAGATGATCGGACCGGATAGCCGGTTCATGCTCAGATCCAGCACTTGTAAGAACTTCAAATCGGCGATGGTCTTCGGCAGGTGGCCCGAAATGCTGTTGTTCCGCATTGAGATCTCGACGAGGGCGGACGGGAATGCAGAATCGCCGAATTCGCCGGAGAATTTGTTGTCGCTGGCGTCGAGGTAATCGAGACTGTGCATCGAACCCAGATCAGGAAACACGCCAGAGAGATTGTTCCTTTGGATTTCGACCCGCTTCAGGGTCGTCAGCGAGCTGAAGCTCGCAGGAACCCGACCCGAGAACATGTTGCCGTCGAGGTAGAGCTCCTCGAGGCGAGGAAGGGTGGACAGAGTAGGCGGGATTTCCCCGGATAGCAAGTTCCGGGAGAGACCAAGTCGCCGGAGCTGGACTAGATCGGAGAGCGAATCGGGCAAGGAACCGGAAAACGAGTTGTCGGAGAGATCAAGTGCCTGCAAGTAAGGCAAGCTGGTCCAATTGGTGGAAGACAGCGAGCCAGAGTAACCAACAGAGTCGAGGGCGATCTCGGTGACCCGGAACAGATCGTGCACCGCCCTGTCGCAACGGAGGCCGCAGGTGAACTTGTCGGTGAAGAGGCGGTCGCAAGGGTCGACGGCGAAGTCCCATGAGCTCAGGCAAGATCCTCGAGCTATGGATTTGGGGTCCAGCCCATTTTTCAGATTCTTCAGAGCTTCAATGTCAGCTGAGTAAGTTCTGGAATTGGCTTCGGGGAAGAGTTGAGAGATTGTAGCAATGAAGAAGAAGAGAGATAGCAGAGGGAGAATCTTCTGGTTTGGCATTGTTTTGGGGCAGGGGAAGGTTTCTGGAGATATGAAAATGAGTATCTATTGACTATTAAGTAAGATTTTGAAGGGGTAAGCAGACCTTCGAGTTGGCAATAAGATAATCTGTGTACTTTGGTGAGTCACTTGTCAAACTTAAATGTGGATGACACGATCTGGTCTGAAGAAACGGAAGCATCTCTGCATGCAAAATTTAATAAGCGGGAAGTAGATCTGAACAACTATATGGTAAAAAAGGGGTCAACTACATAGACAGTCACTAAACTTCTGCGTTACTAGAGAATCAGCCACTGAACTTTTGTGTTACTGACAAATCCATCACTAATACAAGTACACAAAAATGACTTTGTCTGCCTCTGGCAAGTTATCTGTGTCCATATTTCGCCAAACTAGTACATCATTCAAGCCACATACATATACTAGTAACAAATAGATCATATGGCTCCTAGTTAGCTCAAATGAACTGCCATTTTAAACCTTACCTGATCCTCATGCAACCCGACGACGCCCAATTCACTCCGCCCTACCCGATACCTAATCTGATTTGGAAAACTTGGACGAAGAACTCAATAGGGATGGACGAGTTACTGCTACATTCGAACTTCAATAGCAAGTTTGTTAAAAATCAAAATCGGAGTGACCAATTTTTCAGTGAGCAAAGTTGCATGGCCATTTCTGTAAATTGACCATACGACAGGACATTTTGCTTGCCTTAATATCCTGGGGGTAGACCAGATAGTTATGAAGGGCACAAGTAAAGGGCACGCCATAAATGAGAACTGGGGTCGCATTGCATAGATTTCATAAGCACGTTGTCGGAGGGCTAACTACTATGGGGATTAGACATTTGATTTTTCTAGACTATCCTTGTTGGGAAGGGATTCATTCACATGAGAAGAAATTTACAGAGGCATAGGAAGGGGAGGAGAAGGAAAACCCAGAAAGTGCAGCTGGTGTAAGAAATATATGAGCACCTTCTGATAATCAGGCTGGGAATTTCCTGTGTGCTTCACTTCAGGATTGCAGCAGCTCTCGGGTCGATGAGCGTTCAAGATGCCTCTTCACGCAGCTTTGGTTTATCTCGAACACGAATGGCTTCCCCCTTATCTGCAAATCGACGGAAGATTTAAGGCATCTGGTCGATGGTGCAATTGAACAAAGAATTCGTAGGGGAACAAACCTCGATGAGACAACTGGGAGTAAGGTTTAGACTCTGGCCATGGGTTATTTCCTTGTCATTGACTGAGATGGAAAATTTGCCTACGTTCTTCAGGTGGAAAAATCCACTTTGGTCCAGACTAATGATCGCCTGTAAGCATTTAGCATAGTTTGTTATGGGTTCAAGGGAACCAAATAGTGGAGATCTCAATATCTCATTACTCTTTGAATCTGATCAAGTTAACAAACCTGTCTTCGTGATATTTTGTTTGCACGTCCTTCTCTACTCAAGTCAATGTCGACGGTACTGTCTTCTGTCCCTCGACCAAGCAAAACCTGCACAATTGCGGAAGCTTAGAAGGAAACCATACTCAAAGCATCTGTTTAGGAAATGTTTGTTGAAGTCCTTGTACCTCGGACTTCTTGATATAATGCTTTGAATAACGACCATATAGAACAGCAAAAGCTCCATGTGAAGCAATGGCTCTTTGCATGTATGAATGTGCGCTCTGCTCCATCCTCATGATTGCTGCCTGTGTTTCCTCTTGCTGGTATCTCAACACTGCAGGAATTAATTAGATGTAAGCATCATGTTAGGAATGGTTACTGATTGGGAAAAAGGCCCCCATTGGATGTTCCAACATCAATTTGGTAGCAGCAAGTGAATGAAGAACAAGACTGAAAAGTGATGAATTGCCTGAAACTTATATGTTTACTACCTTGCTCGTTGGAGAATAAGTCCTGCTCTTCTGGATCTAAGTCCATATCAAGTATCTAATTTCAGAAAGAGAGGGGGGAAAAAAAAGAGTTAAAAATGGAAAACAATACTAAAATCAAGAGACATTCAATGATAAACAAAATAATCAAGAAAAGATATAGGCCACTGTCATACCATTGTTTCAATGTCTGAAAAGTATGGGAGATCATCTTCACTTTCCAGGTAAAGGTCTTCTTGATCCGACGTACTGTTTGCTCCTTGTTCCGAGACAGAACTATTGACAGGCTCAACAGCAGCAACTGAACCTTGCTGAATTGGAAAACCTGATGATGAAGCATGTATTTCCTGTTTAACACTACCAACATTTGTTGTGCGATGGCACTTATTATAGCCATTACCAACGGGAGCTGCTGGCCTTTCCATTAACAAGCCAGTGTTACTGAGACTTGTATGCCTTGCCATGGCAGTCCCTGAAGTTTCTTCCTTCATCTTAGCAGGCATGTGAATTGCAGTATTTCTATCATTTGTTGACTTGACTTGAGTTGTTGAATCACCATCAGCAACGACACTGGTGGAAGCCCTTTCAGTGTAATCATTCCTAGCAAACTCAACCCTAACTCCAGGATGAGCAACTGAACGATGAACACTGACCTCTGGTGTCACTTGTTGTGACAGTGTTTTCTGAGAAGACTTGGGTGGTTTTCCAGGATTTCCCAAATCCTTCTGCAACAATGGTTTCCCCCCTTTGCTACTTTTTTGTTGATTGTTGGTCATCGCTTTAGTGGATGAATTCAATTTCCCAGGAGTTTGTACAGTTCGTTTTGATACAGTAGCAGCTGCCTTACGACGCGAGTGGTTGTTGGTAAAGACGACATGGTCATTGCATGGGACCTCAGGATCTTCTGTGCTCAACACACAGCAAACAACTTCACAATCGAGTTCAGAAAAGTCAGGGTATGAAGTTGATGGGGTATCAAGGCACTGGACTTCACCAATGCAAACAGAATCTCTTCCATGGTGCATTCTGATATCTTCATCGGACACTTGCGCAGGACTTGTCTTCAACTGATTTTCAGGATGATCAACAGTCAGAGCCAGATGATCTTGATTGGCGTCATGACTGGGTGAACTCAACAACAGGGAACTAAGGCCGTCATAGTAAGACTTATCAATGATATCATCTTTCCCATCGACGTCCATGAACAGAAGTTCATCATCATTTGTAAGGTTCAATAGAGAGTGTGAAAGTTCAGCCAGATAACCCTCTGTTCCAATAGTAGTATCTTTTAGCTCCTCCTCACTTGGTATCTCTAGCCTCAAATCAGAACCCATGTTCACCATACCATCATATCCTGATTGATCCGAGTCTTTAGCAGCAGCAGCATCGATGTGAAGAGAAAACCCATCCCCAGCACGAAGCTCTTTCCCTCTCAAACCATTGTCAGTAGGTTCAACAGGCATCGTCGCCATGCCTTCACCAGATGTCCAATGCGGGATTTCAGGAAGGGAACACGAGTACTCCAAATTTTGAAATGGTGACCCACATTCGAGAGCCTCTGAACTAAACCCTTGGTCTCCATCATAATTTGGACATCCTTGTACCTGATTACCATGCAAGGGTAATCTATCCCGCAGGCAAAATTCATCTACTACCATCCCATTGCCAGGGTGAGACAAATTCTCCCCCATCATACTTGCCATCTCATTAGGCAGATTATCTTGCTGCATTAGAAAATCTCCTTGAGCTGTATTCTCGAACTGTGAATGAAAGACTGGAGCACCATTACCAACCTCAATTTCAGTCGAAGTATGGCGCACGATATTCATGTTGGAACCCTGAAGTTCAAGACCTTGAACTGGATCTCCTATGATGCAATGTCCAGGTAAAGGGACATCTTCACTTCCAACATAATTGTTATCGCTGGGCCCCATAAGAAAATCCAAATCAATGGATCCAAATGGCTCATTACGGATTCTTTTACGCAAAGCATAGTAACTAGAACGGACACTTTCAGCTTTCCTTTTTCCAGTAATACATTTGTTATCCTTTGAATTCCCGCACCTGGTAAATTTTGATGGAAGAGCTGACGAGGTGTACTCAAGCTCAATCATCCTTAAAGCAGCTTCTTCAGACACGGTTGGATCATATAGAAGAGAATGCCAGCGGTCTTGCAGTTCACGAATGGTGAACTTTCTGGAGAACTGCACAGCACCTTTAGCAAGCGACTCCAAGGAAGCACCTGCCTATAAACATCAGAGGAAAGAAACTAATCAACTGGATTCCTTGAAAGAAAATCCAAATTATCTAGAAACCAACACAAGAAGAAACAAACATGATTCTTTGCGTTCATTTATATGTACCAAGAACAAAAGGGATATATCCATCCGCCCATCAGCACTCAGCAGAACAGTCAAATGGGAAAACAATATGGTTGACAAACGAGTCAGGGACAACAAAACACAAATATACCTACAGTCGAAATGGAGCAGAGAACTTGGAGCTTATTAACTAGATTTAAACATTCTGTTGATATAGACAGGTACTCAAAGGGTTCATCTACTAGGCTGAGATAGGATACTTTGTCCATTGCCTGGAAGGATGTATTGCTTCGTTGCCAAAGTACAAGCTGTACATTATCAGTACGTGCGGAAGTGTATACACCTTTCAGGGTTGTCGCTAGCAATCCTTCCATACCATGTAAAACCACCAGCTAGGATAGTAGAACTTTCGAGATGTTCTAAGCTGTTCGACTGCATCAAACCCTGTAATGCCAGACATTGATGCCTCTATATGAGAATCTTCTATCTACACCAGTACAACACAAGTGAAAAGCCCACAACGCCAGACTTTTCCTCTTTTCTCACCTTCCTTCCCATCCAACAGCTTCTTCCCTTGCCCTGAAACCTGAGACACAAATGCTGCTACAGCTACCTCATTCAAACCTAACCTAACCTAACCTAACCTAACCTAACCTGTAAGAACCTAAAACCCTGAATGAACAAACAGAGTGATATTTCAAGCCACCGCTTCAGAATGCCATTTGAAAACAGGCATGCAGCATAACAAAAAAGCTGTTCCCTCTAAATTCAAACCCAGCCTACCTAGGCACAACCATTTTTCAGCAATGAGCTCAAAACTCCTCCACAAAACAGATGAAATTAAACCCCATGGCACTGGTTCTGAACTAAAAGACCTCTCAACCAAAAGGTACAAACACAAACGAGCAACAACAAGAAAAAACTTACTCGAGAAGTAAAACAAGGAAGAAGGAAATCACCTCGACGGCATTCTTCAAGAGAAGATCGTCCTCTGGTATCCAAGGAGCGGCGAGAGGAGCCAGAGCCCCCATGGCGGCTGCCAAAACAGCGCAGCAAACCAACAACAAGAACAAGCCGCGTCTGTCCGTGAAATTTACCTTTCTTCGTCCTCACTGTTCAGTGGCCTTGGTTTTTCCTTTATTTTCCACCCTTTTTCTCCAAACGGAGTGATTGTGCTCTGAGAAAGTGCCGAGAAAAAGGAACAGGAATAGAGAAAGAGAAGGGGGAAATAACGGCACGGCGCGCTGCGGGAAAGGGAAAGAGAGAGAGGAGAGAGAGGGCTTCCCTTTCTTATTATTTATTTATTATTTTGTATTTATTGAGAAGTGGAGCGGCGGAGGAAGGAGGAGAACGGTTTCGGTGGCGGAGGGGGTACGGCGGCGCTCGGCGGACCGCACGAATTTTCTGTGAAATCGCTGTCGGGAGTGGGGCACGTGCGAAACAGTTCATTTTCTTCGGGGATTCGGTTTCAGGTGGTGACGGTGACGGGGGAACCGGGGAATTGCTGGTATCCGGTGGACTGGAGATAAAGGCCTGGTTCCTGGTGGGCCGGGGCCGGCCTGGCCGTGGGGAGTTGGTGTTACACCAAAAATCTATTTAAATTTATTTTCGACTTTTTTAAATTTTTAGTCAGAATTTGGATTTTGCGATGAACGGAATGACAGAAAGGGATTTGGGATTTTTTTAAAACGTCCATAAGAAAACAAAGAAACTTCTGAAAAAATATAAGGAATGAATTTATTTGCTTGCCAATCAAGGCAATAATAATTGTGGGGGGTTAGTATTTTATTGTTACGGAAACTTCTCTAATTTTGTTTCGTGCTCTTTAACCTGAAATCCTATTTAAAGCCCTAACTTTTTAAATTTGTCGCCCTAAATTAACCAAACGGACGATTCTATCCCAAGCCCTAAAATGCTCGCCCCTAATCCCTAAATTTCAGCTGCCCCGTCGCCGACATGTCAATCCAACCCGTAATCATGGGTATCCTACCCGACCGTAACCGGTCAACGAGGGTAATTACCCGCTTTGACGGGTTAAGGGGCGGGTACGGGTAATACCCGGTTTCAAAATAAAGGGTAGGGTACGGGTATGGTAATCGATAATACCCGCTCCGTTATACCCGCTCCGTTATACCCGCTCCGCTAACCAAATGATCAATTTCCCTTGAGAAATTTAGATTAGTTTGAGAAATTGAGTTTAGCTACCATTATTGATGATGAAGATGTAGACGATTATTATGTTTGTGTGGATTGTAGAAGCAAGAACAATTATTATGTGTTTGCTATTTTTATTTGTATGGATTGTTGAAACTCGAACAGTTACAAGTATTGAGAATTTTTTTTTTATAAAGAAGTATTGAGAATTTTTAATGGACGACAGTATGTATGTGCATATATGTGTATAAGTTCATAGTTTAGGATTCGTACCCATGGTTACCCGAATACCCGTGGTTACCCGGTGGGTAGGGTATGGTTATATAATTTTCATACCCGGTGGTTATTTGGTCGGTTATTTTAGAAAGCTCTACCCGGCGGGTTAGGAATTGGTATAGGGTAAACCCGCACCCGACCCTCCCCATTGCCATCCCTAGTCGCCGCCGTTCGCCCTAAAAGTCCGTCGCCAGAAGGAAAGAAATCTCGCACTGTCGCCGCCATTCGCCCTGGAAGAATTCTTATCATTCCCGAAAGGAGAAGAAGGATGATAATTACCAAGCTCTACTTCATCGTGACGAACAAAAAGATTCTGATGGGTGTAAAAATGGCGGATTGAAGAGTACTATTGTTGAATTGGACAATACTGTTCCATCGGGGGAAATTGGTAATGACTGGGGAAGTGATGACTGGATTGTGGAGGAACCCAGGATTGGGAAGTTAACTGTCTATGAAGCTTCTTCTCCGAATGATAATGAGGAGAATTTCCAGGAGGATGAATTCGATGCAGAGAACAGTTGGGACTTCTTCAATCATTCCCTGATCGAAAAACTAACAGAGGTTAAAAACCGCAACGCGAAGTTCATCGACGATGGTTATCATAATACTACTGAGAGTCCAGAGGAGGAGGAAGAAGAAGAGATGGGTTTTGGCGACGACATATTTTCAACGGATGAAGAATCCGAAGCGCTTGGATTTGAATTAATTTCAGAGATGGCGTCCATGGAATCTGAGCTGGCGGGGCAGGATTCTTTTCTCGGGCGGCGGCTAATGGCTGAGCAGAGCAAAATTAGTGTTACGGCGACGACTGGCATTTAGGGATTAGGGCGAGCGTTTTAGAGATTGAGAATTTTTTGGGGGCAAAAACGTCAATTTATTTAAGTTAGGGCGACAAATTTAAAAAAACGGCGTTAATTAGTACTGATAGACCGTCATTTACACATGTTTTTACCCCCGTTCTTGCACCGTTTGAGGTGTTGATTCTCGTGTTTTAGGCCGATTTCACGCTAGGTTGTGCTTGTTTGTGATATTTCAGGTCCTAGTACGTGAATGAAGGCTTAGGAGCGAGTCTGGGGTCGATTGGACGAAGATCGGACGAATGGCGAGGTTTCAAGGAAGCTGCACGGGCAATCCATGGCATCGCACGGCCGTGCGAATGACAATGCAGGCCGTGCGCCTTTTGCCGAGGCCACGCACGGGCAAGCCATGGAAACCACACGGCCGTGCAAAGTGCAACTCTGGCCGTGTGGTTTTGGCCGAGGCCGAGCACGGGCTGGATGGGAACCCTGCATGGCCGTGCACCCTGGCCGTGTGACAGGCCTACGAAACTAAACCATACGCTGCGTTTTGAGCTGCACGGCCAAGTGGGTGATCTGCACAGCCGTGCACCCTGGCCGTGCGAGTCGGGAAATCCTGATTTTAGAGCCTATTCCGAGCCAAAAGGGGGAGAATCGTGTTTTCAGAGCAAAAACAGAGCCCTAGAGAGAGAAAGTACGAAGAACACATCCTAGAAGCTGTCTTAGAGCTGGATTTCATCGAATCGAGCTTGGAGATCGTCATAGGAGTGGAAATCATCATCCCGGAGCAGATTTTCCTCATCGTTATGAGTATGACTAATCCGATTCTTGTTTTCTCTTCTCTCTCTATGGAGTAGAACCCTTCTCTCACTTGGGTATGAAGAACCCTAGTTCCTTGTGTTAGGGATTTGATTGTAATGACTTGGGATGATATTACTGTTTGATTTTAATCGAATGACGCATGTTTATTGAATTGATTGGAGTCTGATCAGCTTTGCTCAATTTCTGCTGCATCCTGAGATAGATAGAATCTGATTAGGTTGTTAGAGCCTCTTCATTCGATAGTAGGAGATTGGCTATACGAGAGTTAGCCAGTTTACTGCTTTGTACTGGTGTTCTCGGCACCAGTAGTGGAGTTCTGTGTTCATAGCCTCAGCTTTCTATCCCGGTGAAGACTAGTCATCTGCCGGGTAGTTAGACTGAGAGGGCTTGGTCAGCTTAAGAGATTCCAAGCTACTGTCGGATCTTCCGCAGTCTAATCAACAGTAAATCAACCCAGGGAATTGCAATTGAACCTAACTAAGGGGCTAGGGGGACTCAATCCCGAGTGACTCTTGCCTGCTTTAGAAAACCGAACAATTTACTGCTTCCTTGTTGCTTTTACTTTTCACAACAATCACTCGAACTAGTTTGCTAGATAATAGAGAATCACGGAGTAAGTAGTAGATCTAGACCCCGGTTTGATAATTAAACTTGCCTGTTACTGCATTCCCGGACTGCGATTACACTTGGTCGCGGTTTGGTGTTGTGTTTTGGCGTGTCAAGTTTTTGGCGCCGTTGCCGGGGACCCCTCTAGATTATTGGGGAAACGTGAGAATTTGTTACTCTAGCTTTTATTTACTGCATTTTATCTCTTCCACCTGTGTGCCTTCACGGGTTGCTTCTGCTGATTGTGTACAGGTAGTGCGTGACCCGTAGCCAGTCGGGAGAACTACTACCATTAGACCAGGAGCTTGAACGAACTTGCAGGAGCTTCAAGCGGGCTCTAAAGGCGCGACTGGCTGCGGAGGAGGCGCTAACACAGCTGCAGTTAGGAGAAGAAGAAGAAGAAGGAGAGATGGGTGATCCGCAGAACCACGAGGTGATCAACCCAGATGAGCAGACCATGGGATCCTACTGGACCGCTAGGGCTGCGGACATGAGGTCACCCATTCAACACCCTCATGTCCCAGCCAACAACTTTGAGGTGAGCACCTCAGTGATCACCATGCTACGCGGTTCAGTGGTGTTCCGTGGTAAGGAGGGAGAGTGCCCTCGATCACATCTCAGGCGATTCCATGAGCTCATCGATGGAATCAAGATCAATGGGGTACCAGCAGATGCCATCCAGCTGAGGTACTTCCCATTCACTTTGGAGGGGCAAGCCAAGGAGTGGCTAGACACTCAACCTCCGGGCTCCATCACCACGTTCGCCAACCTGGCGGACAAGTTCCTCACCCGCTACCATCCTCCATCCAAGACAGCTGATCTCCAGAAGCAGATTACACATTTTTCTCAGGATGAGGATGAGACCATTAGGGATGCTTGGGAGAGATACACCAGCCTCTTTCTCAGGTGTCCCAACCATGGTTTCAATGATGCATTCAAGGTGGGCACTTTCTATCACGCCCTCTTCCCGGAGGACAAGCAGCTGATTGATTCGGTTTGTGGCGGGAACATGCTGACTAAAACCCCGCCACAGCTGAATCAACTCTTTGAGGAGATGGCGGAGAACGGGTACGACTGGGGCACTGCCAGGCGATCGAGACGAGCACCTGGACGGGGTGTGCATGCTGTGGGCACCCAGTCATCTGATTTGGTGCAGGTGGTATCGAAGCTGGTTTCAGCTATCGATCGTTCTGGTTTGATTGCAGGTACCGGACAGCCGCAGGCGATGCACTGCCAGTGGTGTGAGAGCTCTCATCACACCGTGGAGGACTGTCAGGCGATGAGGGAGTCGTCCACTCCCCAGGAGCAGGTGGACTTCATCGGGAATGCCAGGCGCTTTGACCCCTACAGCAACACCTATAACGAGGGGTGGCGCCAGCATCCTAACTTTTCTTGGGCTGGGCCAAATCCCAGACCACCAGCTCCCCAGGGACCTCCCGGTTTTCAGAGGCCTCCATACCAGCCCAGACAGGGGCAATTTCAGCAGCCACAGCAGCCACTCTATCCGCCAGACAGGGGCCAGTTCCACCTCAGTCGCAGGCACGACCATTTCCACAGGCAGGGGCAGCACCTGCAGCCCCAGTACAGAGTGACCCGATGGCGGAACTGTGAGATCTGGTGGGTT